GTTCTTATGTTCTCTGCATACATAACAAATGATTATATTCAAATTAATACAGTGACATATTACATCTAAATAAATAGTAACTTATTAAATACACTTAGAAATTATAGTCTTTAAGAATTCTTACTGGACAAATGGAAAAACTTCATTACAATTTTGCAGGACATAATGAGTGGCAGCCTTATGAAGTTCGATGCTCATCTCTCTAAGTACACCTTTCCCAAAAGCTCGACCAGGTGTTGAGAAAATAGATAACGGAGATGTATCATATGACGGTTGACCTCCATTGTCGTTTCTATCTCTTTTTTTAAATTTAGTTTCAACTCGATGCAAATAGGGAGAGCAAAATATTAAACACTCATCTCCCAAGACACCTTTGGCAATAGACCCTTCTGGATAAGCCTTATTACGAACATAAGTCTTTAGTTTATGCAAATACCTAATTGCGTCATAAATACTGAAATTAGATAATCATACATCAGTAGTTAAACAAATCGTGAATAAAATTAATATTGAAGCATTGAGATTACCTTTCCACAGGATACATCCACCTAAATTGTACTGGACCAGCCACCTTCGCCTCCCATGCCAAGTGGCAAGTTAGGTGAATCATGATGTCAAAAAAGGTAGGAGGGAATATTTTTTCCAACTTGCATAGAGTTGTGACAATTTGATTGTCAAGAAGATTCAAGTCATCTTCTCTTAAAACTTTAGCACACAATTCCTTGAAAAAGTATGATAATTCAATTAAAGGCTCACTTACATCTTTGGGCAATAAATCTCGCGCCACAAACGGAAGTAATCTCTCTAAGAACACTTGACAATCATGAGTTTTCATACCAGAAATATTACGCTATGAAGCATTCACACATCGAGATAAATTTCCAGAGTACCCATCTGGAACTTTCAACTCCATTAACCATTGACATAAAGCTTTGTTATCATCATTTGACAATGTATAATCGCCTGGGATAAAATAGAGCTTACCATTATCTCCTTCTTCTGGATGATACCTGTGTCTTATACCCATTTCTTGAAGATCAAGACGAGCATTTAAAGAATCTTTTGTTTTACCATCAATGCTCATCATAGTGCCAATCACATTTTTTCCAAACCCAAGCATTGTATGCTTTTTCCCATCCTTGCCATGTGTTATTTCTCTTAATTCACTAAGTTCGTTTATCACATCATCACCAGATGGTCTCTTGGGTGCAAGTCTTATTTCCTTTGTATTATCAAATTGGCTTCGTTGATTACGCCATACGTGGTCAGACGGTAAAAATCTTCTATGACCCAAATAACATGTTTTAGACCCATGAGATAACCGACGATGCGAAGTATCAGATGCACAATATGGGCATGCCAATTTACCAGACGTACTCCAACCTGACATGTATGCATATGCTGGATAATCATTGATAGTCCAAAGAAGTGCAGCTCTCATCTGAAAATTTTGCTTTGCATATATATCATACGTTTCAACACCAATTTCCCACAATGTTTGCAATTCGTCTATCAATGGCCTCATGTATACATCAATGTCATGGCATGGACCCTTGGGTCCTAGAATAAGTAAAGTCATGAAAACATAAGGCTCCTTCATACACATCCACGGAGGAAGATTATATGGGTATATAAGAACCGGCCAAATACTATAATGCAAATTCATATTCCCAAAAGGGTTAAATCCATCTGTTGCCAAACCAAGTCTTACATTTCGAGGTTTCATACCAAATGACTCATGAATTTGATTAAACGATTTCCAAGCCTCATAATCTACTGGATGCCTCAACACTCCATCTTTTACATGATCCTTAAAATGCCATCTCATATCTACAGCTGTCTTGGATGACATGAATAATCTTTGAAGTCTTGGTGTGAGTGGAAAATATCTAAGCACCTTCCATGGAACCTTTTTACCTTTCTTTTTGCTACCCTTTCCTTGTTTCTTCCATCTCGAAAGCTTACATGTAGGACACTGCGTTGCATTTACATGCTCCTTATAATAAATGATGCAATCATTATTGCATGCATCTATTTTATCATAATGAAGACCTAAATCTGAAATAATTTTCTTTGCACCGTTAGTGGTTGTAGGTAACTTCTCACAAAAAGGAAATGCATTTTTCAACAATGTTAGCAACATAGCAAATGCTTTATTGCTCATAGTACCGATACCCTTGATATGCATAAGGTTCACAACAAAAGACAAATTAGAATATGATTCACAACCAGCGTACAATGGTTGTTCTGCCTCTTCTAACAATTTGTAAAACTTGTGCGCATCTCCATTTGGATCTTGTGGACAACCTTCTTCTATTAAACCATGCATATCATCGTCTTGCTCCATACTGGCCACATCATGTCCATCATTGTCACTATCACTTTCATCACTTTCATCAATATCCTCATCCTCACCCTCATCGTGCAAATACCATGTAGTATAATTTAGTTTAATTCCATTATAAAGAAGATGCTTGTGTACCTCATACCTTAGATGTCTATATCTATTACTGCATTTAGAGCAAGGACAGAAGATCTTAGAATCATCCGGCTTAACATGGTTGTATGCATAATTGAGAAAACTTTCAACTCCTACAAAATAATCTTCTGACGACCTCCCAGATTGCATCCAAGATTTATCAACAGGCATTTCTCTGCATAAATAAGATCCAATTAATATTAATAGAACAAACGACCAAAAATCCAGATATTAAACCTTTATCATATTCATATTTGAAACATCACCCAAAAGTTTGACTAGCATTTCTCTGCATGCCATATATTCTTTTAATAAATTGCAGCCATGGCAAAAAAGAAAAAGAGCACTCATAGAGCATCACATGATCGTGAAATGCAAGAGACAAATCAAACATGTATGAGTTATTTGTGTCGTATTATCGATTAAATTCTTGTTTCTATTATTTTTTATAGTTGTATTTCTATTATATGAGTTTTTAATTTTTCAATTATGTTTTGTGTTTGTATTTCTCTTACAAATGTTAGCCGTGGCAAGAAATGGAAAGAGTCAAGATAGAGCATCAGGCACTGCACATCCTCAGTCATCTAGACTCTCCTTAGATTGCCATATTTCCAATGAGTCATCACATGATAACGAAATGCAAGAAACATGTATGTGAAGTTTGATTTTTGTTTGGTGTGTATATATATATATATATATATATATTTCAATTATATGATTAGTTCTCAATTAATTTCCAATTTTTTGCTCTATTATAAATTGTAGCCAGGGCAAGAAAGAGAAAGAATCAGAATAAAGCATCCGACATTACACATCCTCAGTCATCTAGACCTTCCTTAGACCAACATGTGCCATCACATGATAATGAAATGGAAGACATGCCCCTTGAAACCGAACCATCAAATGAAGAAGGTAATTTTTTTTATTTATATATATATGAGGTTTAAACTGAACCTTTACATGATAATTTTATATATATATATATATATATGATCCTATAGCTAGTTTTTTTTTTTACCTTGTACTTCAAATATATTATATATATATATATATTTTTTTTATTAGGTTCAACTGTTGGAATAAAAAAAGGTAGAGGGAAGGCTAAGGGTAAAGATGGAAATGGCACTCCAATTGTAATACGTAGAGGAAGGTAATGTATAAGGCCTACAAAGTTAGGCATTTCTGGTGTAGATTCATTTTTATTTATTTATTTAAATTCGGTTTAAATTTTCAGGATTATAACCACTGGAGCTGTGCGAACTATAGGAGTGCTTTTTATTAGGCTATCGATGGAGCATGGCCAACATTTAAAACATTTCCATCAACTCAAATGGATTTACTGTATGATCGCTTTAACACAACAGGATATACACACACGTGCTCAGAAGAAGAGATGAGGGAGGCATTCGAACAACATATTAAATTGCGATATTCCGATTGGATGTCCGCATTGAGAAATAGCGTTTTTAAGAAATACAAGACTACTAGTGATAGATACACTCATTGCCCATTAGGGATATCTCAAGATGTTTGGTCTAAACTGGTTGATCATTGGTTGCAGCCTACATGGCAAGTAAAAACTCAATTTAAAATAATATTGTTATGACTGGCTAGTGTGTGCTTTGTTTTATTTATAGATGCCTTATATGGGTTCACTAAGTTGATATTAGTTTATGCTTTACTTTTTTCATGTAGGATAAAAGTAAAAGAAACAAGTCTAATAGGGCGAAATCCACAGTTGTGCATACCACAGGTTCTGTTCCAATGGAAAAGTACAGAAAAGAAAAGGTAAAAATATCCATTTGGTTGTTGCTTTTTGCTGACTGTTCCTTTTGTGGTTATTTCCAAATTTGGTCCTAACAAACTTCATTGTTTAAATCTTAATAGCTTGATCGAACTGGAATTGAACCGAGTCCAATTGATTGTTTCAAAAAGTTCCATGTAAGTAAGCCTAAGAATGGAGGAGAAGAAAGTTGGCCAAGTGAAAAGGCTAAAGAACTTTTTGTACATTGCCCCTACTTTGTTTCTCTTTTTCTTTTTCTTTTTTTTGGTGGGCCAAGTCACGGTCGTATCCTTGGCTTAGGTGGTGGCTATAGTACAAAAGATGTGTATCCTTCAGAAGACCAAGGTTGTAATAAATGTATATGCTTAGAACGTGAAGAAGAGCATGAGAAATTAAAGGAGGAAGTGAAGGACTTGAAAAGTGTGCTGTATGAATTGAAAGATCTAGTTCAAAGTATGAGGGAAAACAACTCAAATACTTATGCACGCTCAAGACAATCTGCTTTAATGGTGAACTCTTTTCTTTCTCATTTCAATATTTTGCTCACTGTTAAATATTGTATTTGTTATTTTTATTCTCAAATGATTTATGTCTTATTAATTATTATCTTTTATTCGACATGACAATATAGAAAGTTGTTCAGATGCTCACCTCGAAGACGAGTAGTGCAACATCAATTGTATTTTGCTACAATATGTATTTTGATTTTCAAAGTTTTGATATATTTGCGGATTGCTTATATGTTTTAAGGATGATGGGGATTGTTTATGTTTTAACTATTTAGAATAATTTTAATTGAATGCATAAAATTTTAGTACAGTATGGTGTCGTATGATTTTTTTTATTATTATTACCAATTAAATATGGATGATTAGAAAACTATTTCTAGCAAATATTATAATTCAAATTTCTTTTTATTAATGATTTTTATAAAATAATTACATTTTTCGATCGCATTTCCCTCTCGGTAATGCATATTTCCAACAAACACTTTATCATCGGAAATAGTTTCCGACAATAATTGCCTATTTCTGACAAAATTCCCCACGACATAATCAGGTCGAAACAATTATATTTCCTACCACTTGTTGGTTGAAAATATTTTCCGACAGGATTAATCTATTTGCGACAAACTTTGCGACGAATAAATATGGTTGGAAGGAAATATATATTTCCGACGTAACTTGCCCATCGAAAATATATTTTTATACTCTTTTCCGACGAGCTATTATATATTTTCTACAAACTCTTTTGGTCGGTAATGATAATTGCGACGAAATCTAGCCCTCACAAATAATATATCATTGTCGGAAAAAGTATTTCTGACGACACTCATTGGTTGAAAATATGAATTCACAAAAACAAAAAATCACGATAAAAGAACTATTTCCGACAATCAAATAAGTAATTACGACCACATGTACGGTTGGAAATAAATATGTAGGGTCGTTTTAAAAATCCATTTCAGATAGAAATTTAAGCAATAGCTACGAAGCATGGGCATCGGAAATACATTATTTCCGACGGGATGGTCGGAAATGAAGTATTTGCAACCGAGCTTTTAGCGACGACTGCCGACGAACTTTTGCCTTCGAGAAAAGATATTTGCGACGGCAAAAGCCCCCTTTTCCACCAACAAAGGGCTCTCTTTTTTTGTGTCTCCCGTTTTGTAGTGCAGGTATGTTTAGGGGGCAATCTTTGTGTGTTTTGGGGGCGAGGGCAAGCAGTAAGGCCTCGAGCTTTTGTATTCTCTCAACCGTTACAAATCGAAAGGGTTTAGTGTAAGAGAATGCAGGGAGAGGGTTAAAGGATTTGTTTGGAATATGTGTGCTCACTCAAAGGTGGTGGCTAAAATTGTACAGGCCCGCCATGAGACTGTAGTTCCAAAGACATGTAGAGACTTTTGAAATAGATAAGGGGTCTCCAAGTCGAGCAAGGATGGGATCCTGTTGATCATGACAGTTTTAGGAGGTGTCTTCAATTGAGTAACTTCTGAAGATCCAGGTTTACCTGTAAAGGGCTCCATTCTAATGTTTTACTATTGAAGTCCTCTCGTATCATGAAGAGACCAATTCGTTAGAGAGGTATTCGAGCTCCTAGGAGACCGAATCCATGATGGGGCAACGAGTTGAGGTTGTGTTCTTCTAACTATTGGTGAAACTATGTTACTGAGTATTATTGGGAATGGCTTAAAGACATATTAAGGATACATGTATGTATAATGCTCTATTCGCCTCATTATTTAACTATGACCGCCATGCCCCAATTATCTAAACCTTTTGCCAGTACTAGTGTCCAGTGACAAATATCGTTCATATCATTCATATGCAAATTGAAAATTTGGAGTAAGGATGACTGTTTGGATAAGATAACGCTTTTCCTATTTTAAACTTATGTTTTGTTTGTTTGTTTTCTCTTGCTAAGGAAGTTTCTTCCATAGCTACTTATTTAAGATTGTTATGATATAAAAAATAGAAAAAAACTTTGCCGTCAACCTATCCAGTAAAGCTTATTCCATAACTAATTTCCTCCACAATTATTTGTGATTTCTTTATGCCCTTGTTTTTGGCTTTATTTTTAGTTTAACATATTCTTGAGTTTGCCAAATTTAATGTATTATTGAACTTTTTTACAAACATATGGAACTTTTGTTCTAATGGATAACTAGAATGTTCTTGTCATCAGGCATCACAAGAGAATGAAGGAAGAGAACCATCTCAGCCATACAATACATCCACTACTACAAAAAAGGAAAACCACGACGGGAATTCACC